GTTGTCTTGACATCGTGAAATTGTTTGACCCGAGTCTCCATGCTTTTCCGCCTGAGTCTCTCCTGCCATTTCTTGCGAAAATTTTCTCTCTCTAAAGGGGTAGCATCCTTCTTAACAAAGACTGAATTAAACTCTGTGGATTCACTTAGTTTTCTCGCAGCCTTAAGCACATGTCCGACCTGGGCTGTATCCTGCACAGTTACAAGCAGCGGTCTACAGGCGGTAGCGTCTTTCGATCGCAGCCTCTTGCATGCCGTTATATTCACAACGACGTTAAGTGCCTTGGCACAACAATCAGTAATAAACTCAGCATCCGGAGCATTGCTTTCGGGAACGTTAAACCAAACAAGATTAAGTTTTCTTCTCTCTCTATCAAGCAGTTCACGAGTGCTCTCGTTGGCGAAAGCACTCGTTTCGTAGAGATGACATCTTTGCGGCCTTTACCTTCTGTGTTATCGTTATTTTCTGTTGTGTGCAGATGAGCTTTCATTTCCACCAGCTCGTTTCGTAACGAGTGTAATTCGCTACGCAACAAACTCAATTCTTTCTTAATTGTGGTTCTCTTCCATTTTGGCACTCTTTATCAACTCCTGTTTGATGGTTTCTTCCTATGAAGTCAAGTGCTCAAAACCATAGCGCCGGATGTCCACAGCCACAAGTTGAGCTTGCTGAAAGTAAGCATGGCTATACCGCAGTCGGCCAAACCTCTTCCACCTAACCTCTTCATGCCTAACCTACACAAGTTGCAACATTTTTCCACTCAAAACAAACCCGAGCGGACCTTACCTAACCTCATTGGCTGCAAGAAGTTAGAAAGGCGGCCCAAGTTTGCTGGTACAGCCAGTCATTGGCTGCAAGAAGGTTGTGAACCAGGACAGCGTGAATAGGTTAGGCCAAAGAGGTTAGGCCGAAGTAGGTACAGCCGGATGAGGAACTGCCTGATTATGAGCGAGCATGCTTCAGCATTGGCTGAAGACCTACGGCGACATTATCTTTCGGCAGTGTGTCGCTTGTCTGGATTACGGAGTTCAAGTGTAGTCCATGGCTTCTAGCTCTGAGGCTGAATAAAGTTAATGCATGGTGAGGCTAGGCATTGATTCCACGGCTTATTTAAGAATAAAATTCGTGGCCTACGGCTGCGCCCCCCCCCCCCCGGATATAATGGAAGAGAAATTATTGGCGATTAACATTCTTTTTTTTACTATGTGTTGGATGCTTTTTGAACCTTGACTGTTACAAAATTGCAGTTATCAAGTCAAAATTTAATGATATTGTTGTTTGGATATGATATTTATATTTCCCCGTGTAAATTTATATTAGAACAGTGTTGTTTATGTTATTTTGTTGAATAAGCTTTGATTAAATAAAGTTTTTATTTTATGTCGGATACTTTTTGCACCTACTGTATATATCTATTTATGAGCATAATTTTTAAATTAAATTTTATGAGCGACTTTTAAATCTTAAATGATTTGAGCTTGCGAAAGTGTAAAGAATTTGTTCTGACAAAATAGCGTGTACCCCTACCTTAGTAACTGTATTGCAGGCCGAAGGTTACTAGGAACTAGTCATTATATGTATTGTTGTTAGCTCTATAAGTTCTCATCCTCGTCGGACGTCGCCCTCTGATCTATATCTTATGTGAACATGCTGATTGCTATTACTTTAATTAATAAAGTACGATATGGCAGTGCGTGATCTGTCTCCTGGGGATTTGTTATAGCTGACGTGGAGAACCTAATGAAAGTATTACCGAAAGAATTTGTTTCTTTCACTTTTGCAGTTGCCAGGCATCCATTGCTGTTTTGAAGGCAGTAAGGTTGGGGCAGCCAAGCCCTCCTGGGTAAGAGAGTCCCATATACATATGTATTTATAGTATTGTTCCGGAAGGGAAAGTGCGGCAGTATACGTCCATTCATGCGTGCGGTACCATGAGCTTCTGAGACGTTCATGTCCACCAGCTTTTGCATGATTTTGTACATCATGCTGGCTTTGTCCGTTACCCTTCTCTGCTCGCGGAGCTCGAGATCTAGGTTTATCACCATCGATGTAGCGCAGACACAAGGCACTGCCCCCAGCGCGGACACGGGCACTGTTGGTGTGGGTCTCACATACACGATGCGTACTCCAGGAAAAGTCGTACCATTCTCTTATAGCAGTGGTTCTTAACCTTTTTGGTAGTACCGAACCCTGCAAGTTCCATACATGCATTTATCGAATCCTTCGTAGGTGGAAAATTGAATGTTTTTTTAATTCAAAACATATGTCTATGCTAAATGCGGTCAACTGTAGCATGCATCATTTGCACACAAAACCACTTTGTTGAAAGAAAAAATCCTACACAACATAAAATTC